GAATAATGCTTTCTAAATTTACGACAACACAGAGAATTGTTTTTGCTTTAGTCGCGGTGGAATTCAAAGAAGCAACAGGCGAGGCCTTGGGCGCGGAGTGGCGCACATGACTGGCAGAGGAGGAGGAGGAGGAGGAAGTCGTGGATCAAAACCCGAAGCTCGGAAAGATTACACTCATCTTCTTCATGCCGAACCAGTAAGCCTATTGCGATTTTTTGTTATAAAATCTCATTGAAATTCTTTCAACTGACTAAATTCAAATAATCGAAAAGAATGATCAGGGGTGCAGTATTGTGCTCGGCTTTTTTGGTTTTGATCAAGCGCCGATCCCTGTGTTGGAGGGGCTCAGTGTACAATGATGGATGGCGCTATTCTCGTGGTAAAGGGCATTCGACCAGTAGAAAAACCTGTACTTTTTTTATTTGCCCAAGCGGTATTGACATATGCTAGGGGGTCGCAACCGTTTTCAACTTGCTTCTGTACAACTTTCCGAAAAGAAACAGTTTTGTCAGCACATGGTTGCTTTTGGCTTCCACACCAGTGCCTTCACTTCTCATCAAAGGTGCAGTACGCAAGGAATTTTGTCTAATTATTCCATGTGCCTTCCAACAGTTGTCCAGGGCGAAAATAATGAATTTATTTAACCCAGAAATGAATTTATTCAGAGCAAATGCTGTAGTTATTGCATTCTCTAAACTTGTGTTCGATGGCCTGCTCTTTTGATCAGCGCTGCCTGGTGTGTAGATGCTAAATAACAGTGCTGGAGAATTATATTGCATGGTCGTTTCGATGAATGCAGACCGCATTGTGCTTTGACAGGCAGTGCTTTTTTAAAAAGTCTATTTTCAGAGCAGGAAGGATCATGCAGGCATAAAATTCGAAGGTTCTGCGGTGGCCGAATGTGATATTTGCTGTCGAGAATCGGATCTGTTTGCTGTGGGTGCCTGTATGCATCCAGTATGTATCGAGTGTGGCATTCGACTACGGGTTCTCTGTGGAAATGAAACGTGCCCAAAGTGCCGTGCAACCGTTGATACGGTCAGTCAGCCCTAGGCAGCTTGATAACTTTTTAAGTCAACTTTTCTTCGTTTTACCAATTTATCATTGAAGTTTTTCACTGTTAGTGAATCGAAATGTTTTTGCAAGATGCTTCCCCAAAAAATTGTTACAAGCACTTATTCCTTTTCAAATACACTGCTTCTTATTGAAATTTTTTCACTGATATTGATAATCTTTGCCATCAGTCCCATTTTTAGCGTTTTTTTTGAGCGTCCAAAACTTTGTGGAGAGGGAATTTATACACCAACATTAGTCATTTCGAATTCCACCACCCAATCTACAAATAATTAAGACAGCACTGCTATAGCTTAGTGTGTTAATAAGGTCTGCCATACTAAGGTCAAAATCCTGTCAGATTTTTACAAACATCTTTTGATTAAAGGTCATTTGAGGACTGGAAACATCGAGTGCTGGCGCATGCGTATCGCTCGAATTCCTCAGTCGAGTCTCAGCGAGATAACTCCATCCATTTTTATGCATTTTTGCTGTGCAGTCCAATAGCTCCGTTACAGCGAGCAAAAACGTAAACTGCTGAGAGGTTGTCCTTGTGTGTGTGTGTGTATGTTCGGAGACGAATGAACTTTGTCACCCACTTTCAACTGAGCAACCAGGGAAGCTGGTACGTTGAAATCTCGGGGTCATGTTCCCACCCTGTACGTCATTCTCTCGTTTTAAAGTGATCACTCATACGAGCTTAAATCTTGCCTATGTACCTCTCCCCCCTCCTCCTCCCTCACAAAAAAATATGCATATTTTTTTGGCAGGAAACGATTTCGTGAATCGGAGAAGACAGAAAGCTGAAAATTTGCAGAAATTTTCTCTGTGCATGTGTGAACTAAAGATTTCAAATTCAGCTGCCACGTACACTTGTGCCGTCAAAGTCGGTCACGTCAAAGTTTGGATTGGCATTGTGCTAACTCGAAAATTAACCGGAAAACTGTAGCTGAAATTTTGTCGGAGTGTTTATCATTCATATGTGAAATCGTTCACTTAAAATGAGTTTCGATTTGCACTTGCGCCACGACTTAGAGCCTTCAAAGATATTTGTAGCGAAGTAACTATTTCGCTTACCACGCAAGCTCTGAAGCTGAAACTTTGCAAGGATATTCTATATTCATATGTTGTCCCAGTTCAGGTTGAAGGTGAAATTCCATGTACGCTGACGTGGCAAATACTCAATTTTATTGCAAACTTAAAAGCGAGTGCATTTTGCAGATTTCATAATCCTCTTCCAATTACCTTCAAATCTGCATTTTTCCAAAAAGTGAAAGTTTATCAAAAAATGACTGGGCTTTATGCAAAGAATTAATAATCATGTACCTGAAGATTCGCGTGACCACGTAATGCAACGTCTTCATCCCAGCCGACAACGTCTCCCCTTCCATGCCGGAGGAGGCCAAAACACAGTCAATATGAGTCCCCATGTTAAGCTGCAGCGCGGGAATCATTATTGTTAGTGGTCTGCAAGTTTAGCGCAAAACGCATGATTGCATCGACAAGCCTGGCGCGTTGCA